AAATTGATGGATCCGCCCCTGCTTTTATCCGCAATTTTTAAGTTGATTTGGTATATACAGGTAAAAGAACCTAGAGCGAGCTCTTACACTTAAATTCAGAACCTGCATTAAGCTACAATTGTAGTTTGTAATAGATTCAGTAAGAGGCTTCACAACCTAATAACTTCTTTCATTGTTCTTATTTGGGAAACCTCACATCATAAAATGCCTTGAATGRTGTATAGTTATTTCGCCTTTCAGATAGAGAATTTCGTATCCGACATTGGTGGTCAGCTTGGTCTGTGGCTGGGAGTCTCAGTTCTCAGTGGACTGGAAGTCATCGAACTTGTGATTCTCTTATTTCTTCATTTTTGTTGCAAAAGGGAGTCAAAACGGTCAAGAAATTTTGAAAATGGAAAAAATAACAATCCTCCAAACTCATTTGCTTTRACCTAATTGAATCACAACCGACGTGTGGAGGTAATTTTGCCGATCAGGCTACTTTCTTTTGCTTTTGCCGCGGGCAAGCTTATGCACATTTATTGAGCCTTTATCTGGCCGGTTCATTTCTCCTATACATCTGCAATGTACTTGGTGGGGGTATTCCCCTTTATTACTATACTGGGRCGTTCCAACACGATTTTCCTTTCTTGAATATAGATTAGGGTTTAGGGTAACCAGCGGAAAGTCACCGTTCGAATCTGTGTCAAGTACACGCCCCTCCCCGGGCTTACGTCTTGAGATGTACCGTTTTTAAAAAAWTCAGATATTTAATCTACTGCTTTGTAATCTCTTTGCTTCTAGAGTTTGCAGTTTTGATCATCAAAGAAACAGAGTCACATTGCATCTTTGTGTTTATGTAAGATGAGCTTTTTGGGCTAAAGAAATGCAGAAAACAAGGCTAAAACCTAAAGGCACGGAACGAGATAAAAACGCCCATAACTATATGGAGCCTTTGTCCTTCCGTTTATAGTGACACCAGAAGTTCTATTTATTGGTTATTTATTGGTTATGCAAATATAAAACAGGAAAAGGATATTCATCCTTTTTTGCCACTCTACTCCTCAAGCAGAAAACAATGAATCAAATCAGTGATGAAATTTTGCAAGGACTAAGTAATTAAAAAATAAAAAATAAAAAAAATAAAAAAAATAAAAAAAATAAAAAAAATAAAAACAATAATAATAATGTCTATGTCTATGTCTAACTGTCTATTACATCCCACGTACTGGTACTAACTGAAGCAGCAACAACAACAAAAAGAAAAAGAAAAAGCACACAAACAAACACCAATCATAACAAAGAAATGGCAAAGCGTTTAGAATAAATTTCGTGTAGATCTTATGATTTTTGGCCTTAGCTGAAGGCATATACTTTCACCTCTAGGGGGTTTGTTGAACAGTCTTCACTTATTTACGCGAATTTAAATTAATTAGTCGGACTAGCCGAAGGCGGTCCGACTTTAAATTTACCTTTTAGTCTATCTATCTATGTATTATGTCGCGTTTGGACCACCGGAAGTTCAGCATTTAATAAGTAACTATTGGGTTGGCTGTGTTATTACATTTGTAGACCGGAAGCTCAAGCGTATTGATGTACGAATATCGTTAGTAAATGTTATATGCTACTTGGCTTTTATATGACAAAAAACTATTCGTTTACAAATGTGGTATCTGTGATCTCATCGGAATGCATCTGTCTAGGCATTAGAAGTACGCGCATGTGCAGATCGCATAGAGTTTCGAGTTGT